AGTAGAAAGGGCTGGGGTGTAGCTCAGTGGTAGAGCACTCCTAGATTCAGTCACCAGCAAGAAAAATAAAAAATAATAATAGCCAAAAAGTGAAAATCCAATGTCAATCAACAGAATGTTGTTTGTCCATAAGAAATGAAGTATTTGTTAGGTGCAGGACAGGCTGAAAAAGTTGTCTGCAGGGCATGCCAAACAAAGTTAGCTGCAGGGTGACCTGGCCACTCAAACCCTCTGTCTGGTTCTTTATCACCTGTTTGCTTCAATCCCAAACGCCCAAGCCCCCGATCAAGACTGAACACTCAACCCCCCCCCCCAGGCTGAACACTTAACCCCCCTTGTGCCAACAAGGCAGCTTGCAGACCCAGAGACCCCATTAGAATTAGGCTATAAAAACTCCCTCCTGCGGGGCCCCTCTCTCTTGCTCTGTCTCTCTTGCACGCGCTCTCTCCCTCTCCATCTCTCCTCTTCTCTTCCCCTCCCCCCCTTTTTCTTTCTTTCTGTCTCTCTTTCTCCTCTTTTGCACTGCTGCAATAAAGCTCTCTTGGTCGCTCTGAGTGTTGTGGTCACTTTCCTTTCAGTACTCATACATGCTACAACAAGAACGAAACTTGAAAAACTGTGCTAAGGGAAAGAAGCCAGTCATAAAAGACCACATACTATACAATTCAATTCATATGAAAGTTCAGAATAAAGCCAGATACAACGCACACCTGTAATCTCAGCAACCCTGGAGTCTGAGGCAAGAGAACTCCAAGCCAGTCTCAGCAACTTATTAAGGCCCTGTTTCAAAATAAAAAGGCTGGGTATGTGATTCAGTGGTAGAGTACCCCTGTTTCAATCACTGATACCATGCAAAGGGGACAAATATTAAGTTCAGAATATGAAAATTTCTGGAGATAGAAAATAATAGTTTCTTATGAATGGTGACAGCATGGGAAATTGGGGGCAGGTGATAGCTAAAGTATTGGGTTTCTTTCTTCTCCTTCTCCTCCTTGTATACTACCAAAATTAAAAGGTAGGATTTATTCATTTAAGAAGAAAAGAGAACTCTCATAGGGCAAGAAGGGACCCCCTTAGAGTTGCCCTAGGTGTCTGTTTGAGGTGATGAAAAGGTTCTAAAATTGGCTGTGGGGATGGTTGCACTTATCTGTGAGTTGTGCACTTTGAGTGAATTGTACATAAATTATATCTTAATAAAGCTGTTTTTTAAAAAAGTGTCATCCATCAAGTCTGAGAGTCTACATCTTAAAAGAGAAGCCTGGGTTTCCAAGTAAAGACTTGAAAGTCAAAGTATGTGGATGGTAGTTTAAACTGTAAAAACAGATACAATCAATTTGGAAGAATGTGTAGACTAAAAGGAAAGAGAAGCTAATGAAATAAATGGTCAATGGGATGATATAAATTCAGCCATGGAAAACAGTGTCACCGAAATTAGTATGATTGAGTATCTTGAAGACATAATTATCACAACCTCAAATTCAATAGGACAGCCCAAATGAGAATGGGAAAATTTAGTGCTAATGGCAGTTGTTTGGGTGGGAATAGTAATGGTATTCACCAAGGAATGGATACAAAAAACCAGATCATGGAGGATGAGGCTTTTGGTCCCCTATCCTTCACTAAAACTACTCTTGTCAAAATCTTAAATCTCCATTTTTTAAAAGTCTGTCAGTTTTTAGTCATCTTCGGTCTTTTGAGTGGGAGCGATGCAGCTTATCCAGCACATCATGGAACATTTTTGGGAATGTGTTTTGTAAGACCTTTCACTCCTGATTTTCTTAGCTTTCTTTCCTGACTACTCCTTTTTGATAATTTTTGCTGAATGCTCCTCTTCTCTGACCCTTCTAGTTGGAATGCCTCACAATTAAAGGTCTCAGTCATTAGATTTCTTCTTTTCCACATTAACTGAGCCCTCCCCATCCCATTGCTATCTATACCATTTATAATTTAATGACTCCCCAATTTATCAGTTTTCCCTTCTGTGAGCTCCACATACATATTTCTAATTGTTTATTCAGTAGCTCCATTTAGAAATTTAATAGGCATCTCCAGTTTAACATCTCTAAAATAGAACTGAATGTTTTCCCAAAAAAACTGTTTCTATTCCCCCATATGCTCAGTAAAAAGCCTTGCTATTTATTCAGTTACTCAAGTCAATCTGAGATATCCTTGACTCTTTCTTACATCTAACATTCAATCTATTAACAAGGCATTTCTATGCCACTTTCAAAGTATATTCTGAGTCCAACCACTTCATATCATGTCCATTTTAACACTAGTCTTGCAGGTCTGCAATAGTTTCCTCACTGGTTTTTCAGCTTGTATTTTTCCTCCTTGCAGGCAGTTAAAAAAAATCAATCAGGCTGGGCACAGTGATGAACACCTATAATTCCAGCAACTCAGAAGGCTGAGACAGGAGGATCACAAATTCCAAGCCAGCCTCAGCAACTTAGCGAGGCCCTCAAAATTAAAAATAAGACAGAATCACAGACTCTGAGACAGGAGTCATCTTTTTTTTCCGTTTGCTAGCAAAGCAATAAAACTTTTTCCTTTTCCTAAAAAATAAATAAATAAAAAGGGCCGGGGGATGTGGCTCAGTGGTTAAGTGCCCTTAGTTTTAATCCCTGATGCCCAAAACCACAAAATCAACAAGAATGAACCTCTTCAGCCAAGCAACTCTTGAGCCTGAGACAGGAAGATTGTAACAACTTCAAGACCAGCCTAAAAGGCTGGGATTGTAGCTCAGTGGTCGAGTGCTTATCCAGCATGCATGAGGCACTGGGTATAAATGAATAAATAAAAAATAAAGGTCCATCAACAACTAGGAAAATATTAAAAAAAAAAAAAAAAAAAGACCAGCCTCAGCAACTTAGTGAGGCAATTCAGCAAGACCCTGTCTCAAAAAATAAAAAGGATTGGGGCTGGGATTATGGCTCAGCGGTAGAGCGCTCACCTCGCATGTGTAAGGCCCTGGGTTCGATTCTCAACACCACATAAAAATAAATAAATAAAAGTTATTGTGTACAACTACAAAAAAAAATAAATATAATAAAAATAAAAAGGATTGGGAATGTGGCTCAGTGGTTAAGTGCCCCTAGGTTGAATCCCCCATTCCAAAAATATTAAAAAAAAAAAAAAAAGAAATGATGTGACTTTTACTCAAAATCCTGTGTGGCTTCATAGGATAAAATTCAGTCTCTCCTTGGTCTATAAGTCTGTAAGTGACCTGGCTCATCCTCCAACTAATTTCTTTACGTGCTCTTTTGCTCACTGGCTTTCTAATTAAGCACACTCAAGCTTCAGAGTCTTTAGCTTGCTTTTCCCTCTGACTGGAATGCTCTTTCCCAAGTATGCATGGGTCATTCTCATAGTTCAGGTCTTTATGCGTATATCACCTCAATAAAGGGGCCTTCCCCAAACTCCCAAAGTAAAAGAGCACCCCCCATAACCCACTTTTATTTTCCTTTACAGTACTTCTCATAGTTTTGTGCTACTCTTTCTTTGTCTCTTCTCACACTACATTCCCATCTACTCCAGTAGTCAGTTCCATGAATGTTAGAATCTTGGTTTTATTTACTGCTGTAACCCCAGCACCTAGAACAAACCCTCCCAAATAAGTAGTACAGTAAGTAGTTGACTAGCAGAAAGAATAAATTATAATGGTCGTCATAAAATAGCTACTTTGCACTCCAGCCCTGTTTTACGTGTTAAATTACAAAGATTTTTTTTAGACACAGTTCCTGCCTCCAGGAGCTTATATTCTATAGGATAGTTAGATTAAAAAATACATAATTATGTATTAAATATTATAGGCAAAAAGTTGTGAAAAACGTAATACAAGCTGGTGTACTAGACCTGATTTAAGTGGAAAAATCCAGTCTAATAAAGGTTTAATAGATGCGCAGTCCAAGAAAAGGGAGCAAGCCTTGGGGCTGGAATCTGCTTTGGTCTGAGTGACAGCCAAAAAGGTCAGAGCAGAGCTAGGCAGTGTGAGAGGAGATAAAATCAAAGAAATAAGTGCCAGATCATGTAGAGCCTCGCGTGGAGGTCACTGCTAATTTTGACTTTTATTATGTAGCCAGACACTATTAGAGGTTTCGAGCAGGGGGCTATGACCCGACTTCCATTTTAAAAAGTCACTCCAGCTGTCCTGATTAATTGCAGCAGGGCAGTGATGGAAGCAGAGCGCCTATTGCACCAAGTAGTGAAGTAATGTAAGACTTGGAATAGGATGATAAGGGTAGAAAGGTCCAATTCTTGCACCCTGACCTTCTGGTTAAAAGGGGCGGGGAGATAAAGAAATAAAAACTGACCGATCGATGGATCCCCAGCCTGGCAGCTGGGAGCCATCCTCTACAGGACTCCTTTAGGTGTCAGAGCGAAGCAGAGTGTACAAAAATCACGCTTCGTCACCGACCCATTCTTGGGAACCTTCACATCACCCCTCTTCGAAGAAAGCCTCCTGAATAGCTTAATTGCACCTCAAACTTGAGCCCCTTTTACAAAGACGGATAAATAAGGACTGTCGGGAACGTGCGCCTCCTTAAGCCGCTGACGGAAACGAAAGTCGTCAGAGGAAAGGGTTTTTTTCAGAAGAAATCTGTCGATAATTGCTCGTTCCGGGTGTGCAAGAATGGTGGTCACCCAGGAATTTGCCTACCAGACCCTTGGAAATGAAGTTTATTTCCGTCACAACTCTGGGAAGCCCCTAAATCGCACGTGTTTTGAGTTATCACAAGACACGCCAGCCCTCCGCAACATTACGAAAACAACTTTGCCTCGTCGGTAATGCGCACGCGCCCCACACAGTTTTCCGTTGACTTTAAGCCCCGCCCCTTATGCGTCCTCCGTAGAGGGTTGGGAGCCGTGAGCTCGCGCGACCACTCTTTCCTCAGTCTTCTCGAGCACATCGTCGCAAAGGAGGCCGGAAAGCGTGGCGGCGCAGGCGCAAGCGCAGAGAGCGGAGGCGGTGGTGGTGGCGGCCGCTGGCCAGTGTAAGATGGCGGCGGCGTTGGTGGCGGCAGTGGACGGGACGGCTGGGCCTGGAACAGTCGGAGCAGCCGCTGGCAGAAGGATGACCCAAGACGGGAAGCGGGCTGCTGAGCCTCGCCGGCTCCCGTGCTTGTAACTGCCCCAGCCGGACACCCCCCCCTTGACCTACCCGGTCCGTGTCTCGTTCCGGCTCGGCCTGCCCCCCTCTCCCTTGCCGGTACCCCACAGAGTAGTCCTGATCCCTTTTCCAAGATCCTGGGGCTCAGGTCTTCTCCTTCCCTTGACCCGAGTCACTGTCAGGAGGACCGGTTGTCCTATCTACAGGTCTGTCCTGGGGTTGCCCCCAAAGCCACCCCCATAATTCACAGGGACTTCTTGCTTCGTCGGGTGACCCATTTGTGTGCTCGTATTTCTCCCTTTAGATGGGGGATGCGAGTCGCCCTGCGTCTCCCCGTCACCTCGGGGCCACCGCGCAATGTGTCCCCCTCCCCCATCCCAAGTTCTCAGGCCCAGCACCTTGTACGGAATGCCGAGGTCCAAGGAACCGGGAGTCGGTTGTTGCCGTCTGGTCTTGTCCTCTTTAGGATAGGATTCTCTTAGTTTACCAACTCCCACCTCCAAATCGTTTAGGACACCTTAGAACGGTCCCGTTTGGTCCCTGTTAGTTGGAAAGCATCTGGCGGCTTGAATTTCTGACTCATGATTGTTGCTGGAGTCTCTGTAAACAAACCGGCACTAGCGCTATCACATTCTCTCCGATATTCCCACCCCCACTCCCTGCCCTGTGCGTTCTTGTTGAGAGGTTGTTTGGTTGTGGTTTAATGTTGAAAAAGAGTCAGGTTTTCCTTCTAAATGACTTCTGGTTTTAGTGGAGCTAGGATATCTTAGCTTGCCTGGCTTCTAATCCTTGGATTTGTTCATTTTATTTCCCTGTGTATGGGATTATTGTTGAGCTGTCAGATAAGTTATTCTGGTTTTAAATAGTTCAGAGGAGGTCTAAAAAAAATACTAAAATGTCCTCATAAATATTTTTATTATGTTTAGTAGAATAGACACCTTTGCCATGTAAACTTTAACTTTTCTCAGTCCTTCAGTGAATCTGCAGACCTATTTTCTCAGGAGTTCAGCCTGGCCTTACTTCAGTGATAAAAGGAGGAAAGGTGAGTGGGAGTTGAAGGCATTTAAATTCCTAAGTTCTAGAGAGACCCTGCCCTGAAGCTTAAGTGTTGACCACTTAAGTCAAAATTCCTATCACAATTTCCAAAAGAGTTTGGGTATTGTTCTTGGCTGCATTCCAGCTTTGGTTAAATTACTTTTCCAAGTTTAATTTGCTGTGTTTTGACTTTCTGTCCTAGACTATGGCTGTCTGTATTCAAATGACTTAAGCCTAGAAGTGAATGTGTGTCCCCCATCCCGTGTCTCCCTCTTTTTTCTTGTTCATTTGTCTTGTGTTTTGCCTTTGTGTGGATCATGTTTCTTAAACTGTAAAAAACTAAGAATTATTTTGCCTGAATTCTGTTCAGCCTTTTGTCAAATCAGGTTTCTTCCCCTCTCAGAGGGCTCTGGGTTGTCATCTTTGCCATTTAGAGAATAATCACTTGTAACTAACTAAAAGCTGAGGGATGGTGAATGATGCTGCATTTATTTGGTGTCTCAGACCTGTCTCTGAATTCCAACTTTTCAGAATACAGTGGGGAAATTTTTGGTTAAAAAAATACAGTAGGGCTGGGGATATAGCTCAGTTGGTAGAGTGCTTGCCTTGAATACACAAGACCCTGGGTTCAGTCCCAGCACCACATACAAACACACACACACACAAATATATATATATATATATATATATATATATATATATACACACATATATATATATATATATATACACACACACAAATATATATATATATATATATATATACACACACACAAATATATATATATATATATATATATATATATATATATATAGTGGTTGTACCTGGTCTGAAGAATTCTTAGCAGAATTATCCAGTGCATTCAACAGTATGAGAGAAGAGTGCTAAGGTTGAGGTTCATAGGGTATGACAGAAAAGCTGACTGGCTCTGGAAGGTAGGCTTAGCCAATTCATAGTATTTATGATGATTCTTTTTTTATTTTCAGTACTGGGGATTGAACCCAGGGATGCTCTGCCACTGAGCTTTATCTCCAGCCCTTCTTATTTTTGTTTTGAGTCAGGTTCTCATTAAGTTGTTGAGGCTGGCCTCAAACATGTGATCCTCTCACCTGAACCCCCTGAGTAAGATTACAGGTGTGCACCACTGCACCTGGCTATTATTTTTTTGATTTGTAGTAGGAAACAGTTAAAAGAGTGATACTGGTAAGGTTGTTTTCCCACATGGTGCCCAGATTAGAATGTGCTCATTACAGACTGGATTATAACATTTTTAATGATGGTGTATATGTAAGTTAATATGTAAATCTGTCATAGACCTGGGTTTAATTTTATTGAATTAAGATTCATTAGTTGTGTGACCTTAGGTGAGTTATTTAAACTTCTTTCTTAATTTCTACATCTTTAAAAGTGGGATAATACCACTTACCTTTCACAGTCATTGTTAGTATTATATGGGAGAACCTATATAAAGATCTTAGATTATGCCTAGCATATGGTACACACTCAAAAAAATATTTTGTTTTCTCTGCAGGTCATTGAAACAGCTTTGAGGGGTTGGGGTTGTGGCTCAGTGGCAGTGTGCTTACCTAGCACACATGAGGCACTGGGTTCAATCCCCAGCACCACATTAAAAAAAATAATAATAAAGAAATATAAAAAATATTTTTAAAAAAGAAAAGAAACAGCTTTGAATAAGTTATAAATTCATTTATACTTATTTGCATTTTGTTTTAGAACACATTTTTCTGATTAAATTTTTAAGTTTTTTTTCCCCCTTTGGACTACTGGAGATTGAACCCAGGGCCAGCAAGTTTTATATCTGAAAAAATAAGAATAAAAAACTGGTTGGCGGGGCTGGGGATGTAGCTCAAGCGGTAGCATGCTCGCCTGGCATGCTTGCGGCCGTTCGATCCTCAGCACCACATACAAACAAAAATGTTGTTCCGTCGATAATTAAAAAATAAACATTAAAAAAAAAAAACAACTGGTTGGCCATGGGGGTGCACACCTGTAATCCCAGGAGGCTGAGATAAGAGGATCACAAGTTCGAGGCCAATCCAGGGAACTTAATGATAAGTGCTAAGAAAGTCCTCTTCTGCTGAGCTCCCCATCCCCTCATTCATTTTAATTGTTCACCTTAGATATGTACTTTGCAAATGCCCACCCAGGGTTGCCTTCTGAACCCCTTTCAGGACAAAATGATTAGGGTTCAAGACCAGAGGATAGAAGGAATACTAGATATTGGTGTATGTATATTTCCAAATGTATTCTTAAAGTCAGCATCAGTCATTTCCTTTGTTTGTTGCTTCCTTCCTCTTGTTCTCAGCACACTTGATCCAAGTTGTCAGTGATGTAAAAGAAAGAGCTCTTCTGCTGTAATGTTGCCCACCTGTACTGCAGCTACCGCTTATGCCTTTCATTTTAGTCATAGAGAAAATACATTTTCTCCAAGATATTAACCTTATCAATGGATTATAAAAGATTATTAAAGATCTCTTTATTTAGGCAATGAATCAGTACTAAGAGGTTATGAATACAGAGTTGTTTTTTATTTTACAACTGGACTTTTTTTTTTTTTTTTTTTTTGATACTGGGGCGTGAGCCCAGGGACACTTAACCACTGAGCCACATCCTTATCCCATTTTATTTTTTATTTTGATACAAGGTCTTGCTAAGTTGCTTAAGGCCTCACTAAATTGCTGAGGCTGGCTTTGAACTTCTGATCCTCCTGCCTTGGCTTCCTGAGTCACTGGGATTACAGGCATGTGCCACCCCCTCTACCCTCAGCTTGGACCATTTTAGTAATAAAACAGCACTGTAAAGAATTTAAACCTCTCTGCAAAAGCGAAGTGCTAAGCAACTCAGTGAGACTTTGTCTCTAAATAAAATACAAAATGAGGCTGGGGATGTGGCTCAGTGGTCGAGTGTCCCAATACCAAAAAGAAACCTTCTTTTGTGGGCTTCCACATATTTTTGGAAGAGCCAAGGTTACATGAAATTGCAGTATACTGATGACATTGCACTGAAGGCAACTTTATTGGTTCAGACCAGTTGTCATTTCAGGGTTTATCAACTTTCATTACCACCATTGAGCTTCTGAATTGTCTATTCTAAGGTAAAGACTCTTGGGGGTATTGATGAGGTGGGCAATTATATTTTTTTTGAGATCTGGAGATTTGTGTTGTGTGGAAGAAGGGTCAGAGGAGAAAAGGAAATAGGTTAATAGAGGAATAACTGTTCTTTAATGCCACATGTGCTAATTAAGAATCCCACCCGCCAACCTTCAGGAGGAATTCATATTTTATGGTCCAGGTAACATCTTATTCTTATCCAGGGAATCATAGCTGTAAAATTATTATCTTTCTGTAAATACTTGTATACTTTATTACATAAGAATTATGAAATCTTATTAGAAAGTATTTCCTAGTATGACTGGGGTAGGAGATTAGGTATGCCTGTGACTTCTTCATTCCTACCACCAATCTGATAGAGCATTTTGTAATACAGTCTTTTAAAAAATGTGTAAGAAATCAGTCTCAGTGCCATTGTCCTTAGTGTTACTAAAATCGCCCTAAAGTTAGAAACTTCTCTTCAGAAAGAGCTAAAAGAAACCAGCCTTTTTGTTGCCACTTTAAAACAATCCTGGCATTTCAAAAGCAAACAGACTCTAATATGGTACATTTTATAGAGGTTACTCTGTTGTGGAAGTCAGATATTCAGTTTTATGCCCTAAGTCCTGAATCCTATCATGTGAATTATAGGCTTTTAAAGTCATGAAGTGACTAGTTATACAATTTTCAGATTTATTACTGGATTGTTTGTACTGTAGAAATGTTACTCTAAACATATATAGGAAATGTCCAGATTATAAAAGAGTAGGAAGTATCCTAACACAGGTTTCTTATTGTGTAACACTAGTGTTAGAGTTATTTTTAAATTTATGTTAATTTGGCGGGGGCCTGGAGATATAGCTCAGTTGGTAGAGTTTGTGCCTCACATGCACAAAGCTCTGGGTTCAATCCCCAGCACTGTCAAAAAATAATAATAATAATAAAGAATAAATTTATGTTAGTTTTATATTTCTGGAGTATAGCATTGGGTGTTTTGTTTTTGTTTCTGTTTTTTATTTATTTATTTATTTATTTATTTTTTAGAGAGAGGTAGAGAGAGAATTTTAATATTTATTTTTTAGTATTTGGCGGACACAACATCTTTGTATGTGGTGCTGAGGATCGAACCCGGGCCGCACGCATGCCAGGAGAGCGCACTACCGCTTGAGCCACATCCCCAGCCCTTGGTTTCTGTTTTGATTTTTTTTTTTTTTTTTAGTAGGTTATCAATGAGCCCAGATGATCTGGTGTTTCTCCTCATCTATTTAGAATATAAGCATATGAATTAATTAAATTAGTATCAGGCATGGAGGTAGTGACCATGTGTACAATAGCCCCCTGCTTTCTGTTGTCAGCCACAATACAGAAATATTAAATGGGAAAAGACCAGAAATAAACAATTCATAAGTTTTAAATTGCTTGCTATTCTGCATAATTTGGTGAAACCTTGCCTTGACCTGCCTGGGTATGAATCGTCTTCTTGTATGGTATCCCTACGCTGTATAGCCACTTATGCCTTGCTTGGCAGTCATCTGGGTTATCAAATGACTGCCAATTAGAAAATTGAAAAAATAGATATTTTCCTTAATAATGGACCCAAAGTGCAAGTGTGGTGATGCTGACAATTCAAATATGCCAAGTGTTTCTCTTTTATGTATGTGGTGCTGAGGATTGAACCCAGTGCCTCACGTATGTGAGGCAAGCACTCTACCACTGAGCTACAATATAACCCCAGCCCTCAGATAACTTTTATTATAACATAATGATATAATTATTCCATTTTGTTGGTTATTGTTGCTAATCTCTTATCATGTCTCATTTATAAGCTAAACTTTATCATAGTGTATGTATGTAGGAAAAAACATAGTATACATAAGAGTTCAATACTATGTACAG